TTTTGAAGAAAAAGAAAAAAAAAATGGATTTTTGAAATTTTTTTTTTTTTTCATGATGTGTTAATGACGATTAATTTATATAACTTCATCAAATCAAACAAATCAAACTAACGGAATTAATGAAAGTTTCATAATAAATTGATAAATTTCAAATTTTTTTTTATGTGGTGAAAAATTAAACAAAAAAACATGGAAAGATTTTATTTCAACCAATTAAATCATTGTAATATGATTGTGAGAAAAATTCGTGATTTTTTTTTTAATTAAATGCTTCCGAATTTAAATTCACCAAAAATATCAATTATGATTATCTATCCTCAATTAGCCGTTATCATAACAGATATCAACTCTCCTTGATGATGACCAAGTAAGGGAGTAAAAAAAACGTATTTGTATAGTCTATATATATATATATATACTATATAAAAAATTCGGACCTTTTTTTATTTTCTATTATAATAAAAGGTTTCAATTAATTAGCATTTCAATCACCTTATTTAGGATAATTTCTTAAATAATTTAGCCGAAGAAGTAAAAGTCAAAAAAAGTTTACATGGTGATGAAATAAATCTACCATTAATAAACAAAATTACATCATTAAATGTAACGATGTTTAATTTTTACATATGATACGCATACATTACTGATAAAATTGTATAACAACCATGCCACACAAACAAAATTCAAATAACCTGTTGAAAAGTTAGACTCGGAATAATTATCGTACCATATAATAATTTTCAATATTAAAAATGTTTCATCAGTCAGATGATATCCCAAATGTTAACAAATAATATTGTTCTCTTTTTTTGACGCAAGATAAGAAAAATGAACCAATTGCATCAGAATGCATAAGGGCACGTTCAAAAATAATATGAAGTCATTATACCCTTAAAAAGTTTAAGAAAAAAAAAAATTTAGAGGCAAAAAAAAAAAGTACCCATAAAAAAGTCCCTGACTAGTCCCAGACTATCACAATTCACAACATAAAAGAATATTCCACAAGGTAATCTACGACT